TTTGGATCAACGCCACATTCATCTTTGATATGTCTGCGTAAGCTTCTTTGATTTTTGTAACTACGATTACAAAAACCATTTGGACAATAAAATCTATCTGTAACACAATAATACAGTGTTAAAATAATGTAATTTATATCTATTTTTAATATATTGAATTGTCTTTATATAGTAAATGACAATATTTTATTTATGCTCCAAAGCCCAAGCGAAAAAGTAAATGAGTGTGTTATTCTCAATATTATGGAATTAAATTAAAAACCGTTGAAATATTATATTATTTTAGGTTAGCTTAAGATGGGTGATGTATCACATAATACAAATATTAACACAATAAGTTTCATCAAATAAATGTTGGTCATCTAGCAATTATTTAAAACGTTCTGTAATCTGGCTTTTTATTTTAATTAGCAATAAAAAAATTACGCTGGAAATAATTATCTAGTCACTTGGTAATAAAAACATAATAAACATTACTACACTTATATTTCCATATTTTAATAAAGCTTTTGATACTGTCAACTATAATGTTTTACATACAAAATTAATTTACTATGGCAATGGCACTCTCTTTTATCATGGCTAGTTTCCTATTGCACTAGAAATTTATCAATTATAAAAACTATTATTTAGTTTTTTTTTAGATTTAACTTTATTTTTTTAATTATTTATCATAACTGTGTAGATTGTAATCTATTGTAAATTTCATTATCGGATACTTACACAATAAAATAATAATAAAAAACTATCTGCCGGTTTGTAGTGTAATTTTTTTTTAATCAATTAAGTAATTATAATATTTTATCGTAAAATTACTCAATTTTTACATTGATCAATGATTCACATCAAAGCTAATCTGTCAGTAGTTAAACCCCAAAATAACTGGATTACCGATATTATACAGTAATACAATTTTATTACATAAGATAACACACATTTTTATATTTAATTAATACAATTTAAAAATGGGGAACACGCTTTTGTTGTATACAGGATACCTATGACACGACATATGACTTATTCATTACCGAGTGCCAACATACCATAGAGCGGTATGAACAGATTTGTTAAAAATAGTTTAAAATGTGTATAAATAATTTTTTAATTTCCCTCTGTATACACAATAAAAATATGAAGTATCTGAGAGTTTCAAGTCTCAATGATTAATATTTTTTGAATTACAAATGTAATTAAAATTATTTTAGAAAAAACAGTTATTTTTTGTTAAAATCAATATTTGTCAAAATTTGAACAGTTTGAAAGCTTATATAAACACAACTTGTGACTGTATTTTTTAATTTTTTTTTTAATGCAAGAACAAATTATGGGAACCTTGTATTATATTTTCAACATTTTATACAAAAAAAAACAAAAATTTCAAATCACAGATACTACTAAGGGGCAAGAAAAAAATTATTTTAACACTTAAAAATGTCAATTATTGGTTTCTGATTTACAATAAAAACTAATTCATTTATTTTTCAAAATATGGTATTGAGTATATTCCTGTTTTTATCTTTTTTTTAAAAAAAAAAAAATAATTTTTCCTAATTATTAGAAAGTACTCAGATTCTTTTGAAAGTAAGAAACTTCTGCAATGTCAAAGATTACAGTACATTTTCTGCTCCATAACGTAATGAGTAATGATAAATAGTGGCATGGCGAACTTCATTAACTTATGAGGCATATTAGAGATTATAAATATTTATATTAGTAATTATGTATTTACATAAATGGTAACTGAGAAAGATTGCCTTATTCTTGGTGTATACTTAATAAAATATTTATTACATATGAAATGCCGCTAATCTCCAGGACACCTACCACCCTTTAAACTGAGGTAAGTGTCTCAAATTAAGTCCTTCGTCACGCCAATGATGACAACCATAAAAAAAAACACATTTTAAAACCAATACAACTGCTTAGAATCTATAAAGTATGCTAAAAATCAAATGATTAAAAAGTTATTATTTGTTATACCAAGATGGTGAAAAAAACCTCTTAAATAATATTTTAGGAATTCATAAAAAATGGTATGTACATTATATATTTATCTAAATTATTATAATAATTATATAAATACTATGAATAAGTAAACTATAATATTTAAACTTACAATATCAATGTCTTAATTATATTCTTATTTTTGAAATCTTATTTCAAACTAGTATGTTAATTATTAAATTGGACAAAAATAAAAACTAATTAAATTACCTAGATAATAATTTATTATAATTTAGTAAGTCATTATGGATTTTAGAATATAAAAAAAAACATCAAACTTAAATACAATCAATTATGTTTATATATATTATATTAATATTTAATTGTATACAATTTACATCTTGTCTTCTTATTTGTATTGTAGATAAATTAGCTATAACTCATCAAGTCCATGATGAAAGTCAAAGATCATTACAATTTATAAAAATAAAGGACTGAAAACCATTCTATATTGAAAATAATAATCTGTATTGTAATACAAACTTAATTGTTATAAACAATCATGAGATAGACAAAATAAAGAAAAATATAAAAACAAATTAATTATTAGTAAAGTCACTTATATGAATTAGTATGATAAAAATGGCTACAATGATTTTCAAATGGATTGTAGAAACCTGGGTGCAATACAAGTGCTAAGGTGAACTGTTAAACCTGTCAATAAAAGGACTTCTTTTTAGATAATACAACTTTTAAATTATAGCTGAGATATATTAACAACAATTCATCGTAAATGTTAAAATAAATATAACCGGGACAACAATTAAGAAACCTGTTATTGCTCTTCAAAAAAAATGCTTCTTTCATTTTAATAACTGAATTAACAAATACAAATTGAATGTTATTACAAAGGACATAATGGAAAATAATTAATATTTAGGTTTAATATTACATTAAATTGTGAGAAATCGCATGATGAATGATAGATCGCATAGATTGATATATCAGCAAGATAACAAAATTATGCATGAAAATCACTAAACGTCCGATACACCAATTTAAAAAATAATCAACTTTATGACTATATAAATTTAAAACTATTGTTTTATACATTTTAATAAAATAAAATTAGTAACATTTTAAATTTAGTAAAAAATATGAATAAATAACAATACTATACATTTGGTAACATTTTATGTATTGTTATTATATGTCTATTTTTATGTTGTTTGTGGACAAATTTTTTGTTACAAATATCGCAGGAAAATTTAGGATCAACCCCGCATTCATAATTTAGATGCTGGCGTAGATTTCTTTTATGCTTATAAGTTCTAAAGCATCTGGGGCACTCGTTGGCAAATACAAAAACTAAAAAACAAAAAACTTATTGAAAATATATCTTTAAAATGTATGATTTAATGTAGCATTTAATGGTGCATATAAATAAAATAAAAAGAAATATGTTAAGATATGTTTGCAAATTGCAAATTATATTAAGCAAAAATAGAGTAAAGTAATTGTTTAAATATTGTTAAAACAGAAATCAGAAAAATGTATCAATCTACTTAAATTATTTATAAGTTATATTGACTCAATCATTAAAAAACAATTTTCATGCAATACCAATATAATTGTATTAAGTCTAATGAATGTTTTTGTATTTAAAATAATGAACAGGTAATTTATTTTTATTAAATAGGTAGTAGAGGTCAGCCAACCTTTTCAAACAAATGAGCTACATTTGAAATTTTTAGTCCCAGGTGATCGACATCTAGGAGAATTAAGGTCTTTAGGAAGAGATTTGTTTAATGAGCAAAAAAAAAAGGTCATTTTATTTGTTGTAAATTCTAAATAAATTTGGAACGTAATAACAAAAATATACGGAACATATACGCTTTGCACACTTCCACGTCACGAATAATTGACAGTCGAGTTATAACTGACAATAATTCTGACTACCTATTTATTGTAGTCAATGGCCCTTAGTCGCCGAGGCTTTTGTTTTCAAATGAAAAAAAAAAAAAAAATCTGACTATAACGATAATGGTAAACTCCTAGAATACAATATAGCAATCCATATTATCCGATTATTTATTACATGATCGACAGATAATGTTAAAATTAATTTTTATAACGATCGACCTATATTTTTAGAAAGATCGACTGGTTGGCGACCCCTGGTATAGGTAATAGATTATGTATGAGGAAAAACACTGTAAAAATAATACAAAGTACTGTAATATGTACACGAACAAGAAAACTTTTATTTGTTTAAGCTTAATTCAAAGACAACTATTAATCGTGGATATTTATTTATTCACTTGGCTTTCTATTTTAGAAATGTTATTCTATACTTATAAATTATTGTTTATAATTAAGTTTGCTTCCAGATTTTTTTAAATTTTAATACTCATTTCTCAATTTATAAAATACCAACACACTTAGATATTTTATTTCTGCATATTTGTATCGTGTGTTTCAGTTTATAACATACATACATGAAATAATTTTAAATGTGAATAAGAATATGTGATTATTTATGTTTGGAATATTTTTGAAAAAAATTGACATTATTATTTTTTTTTAAGCTAGGAAGTATTTGGAACCATCAATTAATCTCATACATTGTGAATTACAAAAAACATTTGTGTTACATTCGATAAGTATAACAGTAAATATTTTTGAACCTTTAATTGAATTAAAATTTCGTCATTTCAATTTTTTTTCAATTCATCTTATTGAGGTGTAAAATAATAAATTATTGTAAATCAGAATAAATGTGTTATCTATAATATATAATGAATATTTTATTTGTTTTCTAACATTATATTATGTAACAAAAATAATAGGTAAATATATACCCAAAACAATATGTTATTTAACAACATTAATATTTTTAACAATAAATTCAAAATAACCTATTAACAAAATTATTATTCTTAAGTTTATTAATTTCTAATTTAATGTAAAAATAATCTTTGGCAAATAATAAGACGTAAATAAAATAAAATAATAAAAACTAAGTTAAGTTTAACAACTGAGGTAGTTTAAGTATTTTACATGGTGTTTTGGTTACTGACTTGCAATATTAAATCACCTTCGTCTCTGGATTCCTGTAGATACAATATAACAAATACTAACATTCATATAATGCAATATTATGAGATAAATTTTATAGAAAATAATGCAAAATACCGAAAGCTTATTGTTAAATTCTTCAAAAGAATTCCTATGTATATCGACCATGTGCCTGCTTAAGTTAGATCTTTGAGAGAATTTCCTTCCACAAAAGCCACAGCCAAACTTTGGAGTTATTCCACATTCAAATTTTGAATGTCTTTGAAGACTCCCTCTATGCATATACATTTTGCCACACTTTTTACATATATAGTCATGTCCGTTAAACATATAATCTGAAATATATATTATTTTATGTTATATTAAAAAAATATAATGTACTTTATGATTATTGGCATAAAATATAAAATAATTTAAGCCAATATAATATATATTAAATGTTGATATTATATACTTAAAAGTAGAGATATTTTGGAATAACAAAAATATATTTAAATAAAAATAATATCATGTATTACTACGTAATACAACATACATTTTGGGTAGGTAGGTAAATTAAAATAATGTATAGTTTTATGTTAACAACATAATTTATAATATGTTTATTCAATTAAATGAATCATTTATTTAACACTCATTAAATAAAATAGGATAATTTGTTTAAATATTAATTGTTTTAAACAAATGTTGAAAGCTTTAACATTGTTATTTTGTATAATAAAAATGTCTATACCAAAAAATTGGCATTCCTCATCAAAAAATGAGGAATTATATAACATAAACACATATTATAATAATTTAGCAAGAAAAACTCAATATGCAAAAAAAATATATGTAATAAAAGGTTTTTTGTTTTTTAATTATATCTAGTGGTACAAGCTTACATTTTTATCATTTTAATCAAATATTTTTACAAACCATAAACCCATAAACCATAAACCCAAATTGATATAGCTCTCTCATTTAATCAATTTCGAATACCAGTTAAAAATCAAAATTAATTGAAAAAAGTTTACCAATCCATATATGATACTAAAATAGTGGTTATCATAAAAAAATTAAAATAAAGTTGAATTCCACATGCGCATCTAATAGATGAGTTAAAAATTGCAAGTTAAAGACATTTATAGTCTAGTAGTTTCATGTTATGCATACTGAATTAAAAAAATATATATAAGGCTAACCTTGAGTTATATTGTTCACTGGTCTGTGGGAATAATATATTTGTAACTTATTTGAACTAAAAAGAAGCTCTAAAAACTGAAAAACCTTAACCTGTAAAATAACAGTTTTATTTTGCTTTTAATATTAAAATGTCTAATAAGGGTTCCAATGAAGTTTGGAGTCCCTGATTTTAAAATGGTTACTGATTTAATAACAGTTGTTTATGATTCAATTCCATTCCTTACTTTTGGAAAATACTTCTTTCATAAAATAAAATATTACATACAACAATTGATGAAAAATAAACTAAGATGTTCAGTCAGGTGTATAAAATATTTAGCTAATATAATAACTTTGGTCTCGTTATCAAAAAACAAACTTGAAAGTTTTATAACAAAATATTATGTACAGAAATCATATGTCTTCTCCAATGATGTTTTAAAGCAAATCTTTTCATACAATCTTGACATTTAAATTTTGGTTCAACGCCACACCTAAATTTCAAGTGCAAGCTCAAACTACTTTGATATTTGTAAACTTTACCACATTGAGGACAAGTATACCAATCACAAATAGTACCTATAAACACAAAAATATGTAGTTATTTATTTATTTATATAACTTGTTCTATACACTAACCACTAATAACTAAGGTACGTAATGAATCAGAAAAAAATTGTTTTACAAAGACAAGCGTATGTTTATAAATCGTATAGATAAACTCTAATAATTAACATTTGAAAAGTAAAAGCCAAATAAATTATAAGTAATTTAAACTAAAATAAAGCTTTTAACAATCTTTTAAAATACAAAAAAAACCTTATCTTAGATTATGTTTAGGTGTTTATAATTTATAATTCAAATACAAAAAATATTTATTTCCTCCTTTTTTTGACATAATCGAGAAAGGCATTTTAATATTAAGTATTTATGGTTTTCTGAAAGGGAAAAATATCAGGTCTAAAACAAATATAGAAACATAAAAAGTCAAAATATTAACTAAAACCAAACTCTGTTGACATACAAAGACATGTATAAAATAAATTGTCCGGCATTTACATTTTTACTATATCAAAATCTGTCATAAAAATGACACGATAATGTACCACAAAAATCATACATTATTACTTCACCTAATTATTGCCTTATCTACCATGTTTTGTTCATAAATAGGGCTCGGATGTTTATGAAATCGCACATTATTTTATTTATCCAATTTAATGATGAGCAGGACATAAATTTGATTTGTGTTCTACTGAATCGAATAATACTATTTTGTGTTGCGTATTTTATGGTTTTGTATTTTAAATAAACTACAAAAATGAAGCATTGATTTCAACCTAAACAGAGACATATTTGTTCTTTATATTTGGATCGGTGATGATGTAAGATTTGATGAGTATTGTTATTTTTATTTTATTACCAAGTGAAAAAAAAAATCATGTTAGTTTGATAACTTATTAACTGAGTCATTTTTCATCCTTAATTATTAATAATACAAATATAACCTGAAACATAGTATTAATGATCAAAACTAAAAACATAAAAATACAATGAAAGTTTATTTATGTTTTTGACTTATAAAACTCAATACAACACATAAACACATAATTAAACTTGAAGAAACATTATGTTTTCTTTTTTTCAACATAACTTACACATTTTTATAAATTATTGTTGGAATTAATGCTTATAAACTATATTTACAACATCTCATGTAAATAATACATAATATGAAAACTAAACTTTAATTTAAGTTATTAAAAAAAAATACAACACATACTGATTTATATTCCAGATGGTTATATTTAATTTGAAGTATGATAGTAGGCTTTATTATGTGATATCATAATATGTGTACGGAGTCTGTGACTTCTGCTGAACAATCGGTTGCACATTCTACACCTGAATTGTGGTAAGACCCCACATTCGTACCTTCTATGATTGCACAGACTAGGTTGATGTTTATACTTCTTGCCACACTTGGGGCATATAAATGATTTAGAAATTTTACCTTCGTTGTTTATTAAGAAAGAAGCTAAAATCAACAACAAAAAAAATACAAAAGAATTGAATTAATCAAATAAATCTATGTTACAATTAAAAATTAAATATATTTTAACAATAAGCATAACTCATAAAATTAAAAACTAAATACATAATATAATCCTTAAAGTATCTACACATGCAAGCTTGTAAGTTGGATAACAATTTTAATTTGCTCATTAAATTAAAAACAATACATTAAAATAAAAATGTGTAGACAAATAATTAATTACAAAATATAATATTTAATTTAAATATCAGTTCTGTTCAACAAAATCTAAATAAAAATTTTGTGAGTTTTAGCTAAATGTAATTTTAGTACATCGCTACGTCGACATTGTTTTGAACAAATTGAACAAGTGAATCGAGATATTGTACCACACTCATATTTAATATGTCTTGATAATGTGCTTTGATGTTTATATTTTCGATTACATAGGTTACATGAAAATTTCTTGCCATGTTCTATAGAAAAAAAAAATGTATTACAGTATATAATATATTTTATATTGTGAAAAACTAAAAATATAATACTAATAAATTAGAAGCGAATCAATAATTAAATGTTTTATAATATTATATTTATAGTTATTAAAAATATAATATAAAATAAATGTTTTCTTCTAATTGGGGTAGGTATATGTATTCCACCAAATTTTATGTAACCATATTGCAGTGTTGTTAAAGAACGATTCCTGGAATTGACTTCTTTTTAAAGGAAAACATGAAGGAGTTAATTCCTTTATTTTTTAAAGGAAAAGGAACATGAATTAATTCCTTATTTTTAGGAACAGGAAAGTAAATATTATAATTATTTTGTTCTTCTCAGAAATGTTTTAAAAGCATTTGAGGAGAAAAATTCTGTTTACTTATTATGTTTTTAATATATATAAATAATAGACAAAAACTACCAATTTTTATTCACATATGACTTGGTGTTCTGATTAGTGATTCTGATGATAATTGATAACTCATGAACCATGAGGAACGTGGAACTGAAAGAATTCCTATTTATACTAAAGGAACGAGTAATTGAACAGATTCCTATACAACACTGACATATTAATCATGTAAGGAAGTACTGCTAGAGTACTAGAGAGAGCTAGGAAGACAGTCAGATAAAAAAAATTAAATTAAATTACAGTTTGAATTAAAAATGAAATAAGTTCACTGAATAAAATGTGGAGTCACACTATTTATTATAGACTTATCGGCATTATTGCAGACAAAATCAAATATAAAAATAAATAATAATATAGAATAAATAAGAATACATTTATTTTCTAAATAGCATTTTTATAACGTGTCAAAAATAAACAATTTACATAGGAAATGTATACATTTTTCTTATTAATTAAATAAAAAAAATTATAGAATATCTGAATATGCAAAAGTAATTGTTGTAAATCTTTACAATAGGCATGTAAAGAAAAAATACCTAAAATATGCAATAAAAATTTTAAATCCTTACTTCACAAAACAAATATGTTTATATTTCTCACTCACTCCACAGGCCTACATAAACAAACAATTGTTGATAAGAAAATACCAAGCTGTTTCTGGCAAACTAAATGATATATTCTATTACAGTTATAAATGTATGATAGAGTAAATTGCCGATAACTTTATATTCCTAAATCAGTTTGTACCTCTGTAAGCCTATCTTTCTCTCACTGGTCAAATCATAACTTTAGTTATTGACTTGTATCTAGCAGTAGTAGCGATAAACACTTACTCCCTACTTTATTGTTTGTTTATGTTTTGGGAAACGGTTGTGTATGTTACAATTAGGCATCAGATTTGTTAAAAAAATAAATTTTCATATACATTTAAAAAAAAAAACATTTTTCTGTTTACTAGATTTATAGTTCTAATCAGTTTGATTATTTCAAAATTATTACCTACAAAACATAAGTTTAAAGATATGTGTGTATTAAAAAGTTTATAATATTAAGTTCAGATTCTTAACTATTTAACTTATAACGGTATGATGAATAGGAACTAAAATAAAAATATATAAATAAGAGAATTTTTGTTTTGTGTACTTCATTATTACTTCATTGTAACGATACTTATTTTATTTTATTATTACCTATATAATATGCAAAATGAAATCATACAATATTATTATTTATATTACTAAATCTAAAGTAAGATAATTAATTATATATTATACCATTATAATTTAAAACAATTTAAAAAAAATGGAAAGTCTAATAATAAAACATGTTTAGTTAAAATACAAATATCAAATGGCTTTCTTTACCTTGGATTTTTACAAGATAGTGGTATGTTTTAAATGTTTTTAATGATCATTTAAATATATGTTAAATTATATTTTAAAAAATGATTCAATTTAAATCCCCATCTGAACAACAAATTTTCTTACATAACGTTTCTCTGTAGTTTTTTCTCACACTTCAAAAAATTCTCTGTGTCATCATTGAATAAACTCATCTAAAAACCAACCACGTATTACATTTATAAACAATAGGTAACACTACTTTAAACTTAAGAAGTATTATTTGTACTAAGTAAAGCATTTACAAACATGTATACAAAAAAATTGTGGTAGGTAAATAATTATAATTTTTGTTTCATGCATAACTTAAAGAAATATTTTTACAAATTTTAATTATAAATGAAATAAAATAAAAATTGTTTTTATAATCATAATATGAATTTTATCAAAAACCTTTTCTGGGGGTTACAAATTTATGTACACATAATAAATGAATTTTAACTTCATTTTTGTATTTAAATTGTTTATTGCAAAATTGACATCGGAACTGTGGACTTACGCCACATTCATATTTAACATGTCTTGACAGAGAAGTTTGATATTTATATTTCCGATTACAGCGATTACATGTAAATCTATTGAAGTTTCCTAAAAAAAAAAAAAAAATGTAAATACATTATAATTAATAAAACCAAAAATTAAAAATATATAGCATAATATTGTTAATTCTAAACCCCAAACCAATAGTTAAATATTAATTAGTATTTACATAAAAATGTATTAAAAAACAATTCATATTTAATAAAGTAAATTATTATAATTTTTTCATAAAGTTTACAGTTATTGAGTAGGACAGTCATTTCCAGATAGATTGGCAATTGTTCTTAGTTGAAGAATTTGGATGTTCTTACCAAATATATCAACAAACAAACAATTGTCATAAAGCATTTTAAAACTAATATTACATTATTAATTCAAAACTAAGTATACTTTTGTTATTACAAAAATAAGAGATTTTATACATTTATGAAAAACAATCTGATGTGGCATGGCCGAAACACATCGCGACTAGTTTGAGCTATACTTACTGAAAAGTGCTACTGCCGCCATGCCAATCTATCTGGCAACAAATGTAATAGTTGTTTATATTTCTCCTGTAACCAACCATATAATATATTAATA